GAAGGGAGGAGCAGAAAGAGCAGGAAAGCGGCGGGGTCGGGAGCGGAGGGGCCGGCCGGGTGCTGAGATTTTGTCCTGCTAGCGGCGGGGAGGAGAAACATCCTCCCTTTGTGGGACGGCAGGGCTGCGTTTGGACTGCGGGGGGTTGTTCGGGGGATTGGGGGGGCGGCGGGTGTTGCTCTTTGGTTTTGCCTTTTGCTTCGGCCGAAGGCTTTGCTGGGCAGCGGCACCCGCGCGGGGTGTGGGTGAGCCCGGGGCACGGCGGGCTGAGGGCATTCCCCGAGGGTCAGGGCCGCTCAAGCACCCCCGGGGGCGGCGTTGCAGCTCCCGAGCGCGGCAGCCCGGGGATGGGGCTGAGGCAGCGGCAGCGGGAGCAGCCGTGCCCAGCCCTGCCCGGCTGCCAGAGAGCGGCTGCACCGCAGGGGGCCTCAAGCCTCTCCCTGTTTTTCTTGCAGGATCTGCCCCACCCCCTCCCTGCCTTCCTCCCTCCCTGTCCCCCTCCCTCCCTCCCTCCCTCCCTCCCCGCCTCCCCTTGACGTGCGGGAGTCCCATCAACGCAAGAGGTGCTGAGCCATGGCTGAGGGGCGGCTGAGCTGCCAGCGGGCAGGAGAGACCAGAAGGCCGGCGGCTCGCATGGGGCACTCGGGCCACCGGGTAGACAGTGTGACCAGCCTCATGTGGCTGCGGGACTTCTCCCTCAAGGACATCGGCATAACCGGTCCCATCGACGGTCCCAGCATCCCCAGCTTTGCCGCCCCATGCTCGCCCCTGGCCGCTGAGCCGCTGTGCCTGCCCACGTCCCAGGCTCTCTGCAAGCCCATCTCCTCCTCCACCCCAAGGGCAGCACAACACGCCATGGCCACGCACCCCCAGCTCACGGATGACGTGGACTACAAGACCAACCCGCACGTCAAGCCCCCCTACTCCTACGCCACCCTCATCTGCATGGCGATGGAAGCCAGCGCCAAGCCCATCACCCTCTCCGACATCTACCAGTGGATTAGCAACAACTTCTGCTATTTCCGACACGCCGATCCCACCTGGCAGGTAGGAGATGTGGAGACCCCCTTGCTTGTTCTCTCTCCCCGCAGGGCTGGGGAGGGCTTTCCACAGCCTCCGGTGGGCAAGGCGAGCTCCTGTGGGGATACTGCATCCCACTGGGAGCAGAGCAGCACTGGCAGCCGGTGGGGAAGGGCTGTAATGGGAAACCGTCCCCAGCTCCACCTTCCTGGAACTCTCATGGGGTCCTGAGTCCCTTGGCGCCAAGCACAGACGAAATCACCAGCATCTCGGGGTGCTGAGGACCAGGCGTAGCAGAGGATCCCCAGAGAGATGCTGCTTGTTGGACAAAGCCCTGGCTGGGCAGGTTCGGAGCAGAAGTGCTGCCGCTTTCCAAGCAGGCCAGAGGGCAGGTCTGTCCCCTTGGACAGGCAAAGGAGGCTCCATCAGTGTGCCGAGCTGGGGAGGCCTCAGAGGGGAGCCCGAGAGAGGGCCCATAGGGCTGCTGTCCCTATTGAGCACCAACGTGTCCCCAGGGGGTAGGGGACAGCCCCGTGGCTCACCAGATTTGGGGGCTTTTCCCAGCCACCTTGGCTCCCTGCCCTCCTCCATCACACAAGGGGATCTCCAGCATGTGACACTCTCTACGGTGTGGCAAGGCAGGAGGGACCCAGGTGGCTCATCCCTCCGCTCCGCTTATTCCCAGCCCAGATCCGCAGTGTGCCAGTGATCCCAGCAGCCAGGGCTCACCCAAGCAGGGCTGGGCAAAAGCACTGCAAACCCCCTGCCCAGGCGCTGCCCACCTTCTCCCCAGGCAGGTGGGTCTCTGGTGGCTCTTGGAGCCCATCACGGGGAAGGGAACTCCCCGCTTCCCTTCCAGGACCGCCCGGGTCCCCCAGCCTGAGGGAGGACGAGCTGTGTGCCAGCGGGTTGACTTTCTCCTGCAAACTCAGGGCTGGAGGATCATCACGGTTTTAATTAACGGGGTGCCTTCCAGAAAGAAAGAAGGTTTCCAATCCCTCTCTGCAGGGCTGCAGGGGATTCACAGGATTCTTGCAGGCAGCAATGATAAATATGTTCTCTGACCGGGTGATAATAGAGGGCAGCCCAGGCTGAATCAAGTTTGGCATGGGGAGGGCAGATGGGGAGCAGAGAATTCAGCTTGCAGGTCTGTGACCCTTGTAAAACTGTGAAACTGTAAATCTGAAGTTACCACGGCCTGGACTGTTTGCGGGGTTATCTGTGTTCCTGCTGCTGGTGCCACCTCCCGTGGTGCTGCCATGTGTTGCCACTTGTAATGGGGTCCTGGCCACAGCAGGGTAAAGACCCTTCCTTAGCCATGGAGGAGGACCTGCCCTCCTCCAGCTTAGCTCCACGCCTGGAGCAAGTCTGTCTGGGTCCTGCCAGTGCTCGCCATGATCCAAGGCCCCACGGTCAAAAGATACAGCCAAGAACAGTGGCCCCAAAGTTCCTCTTGGTTGGCAAGTCCTCGCTCGACCCCCTTGGCTCCTGCCACCTCTGGCTGGAGCAGACGAGAGGCAAGAAAACTCTGTCAGTGACTCGGGGCAGGGGACTGTCTGCTGGGCATGCAGTCCAGGATGGCTTGACATTGCTGTTTTTGCTTTCTTTTTCCCAAAGGTCCTTGCTGAAAATGGCCTTTTCCACCAGCCTCTGCACACAGGTAGTGGCTGCAGCAGCAGACAAGCATTCAGCCTTGGTTTTTTTTTTTCTCTTTTGGGACTAGAATTCCATCCGGCGCAACCTGTCCCTGCAGAAGCGCTTCATCAGGGTGCCTCGGGAGAAGGGCGATCCGGGGAAAGGTGGCTTTTGGAAGCTGGACCCCCAGTACTCCGACCAGCTTAAGAACGGCGGCTCCAGAAAGCGGCGAATGACCCCCGTGCAGCTCCAGCCGGCCTCCACCGAAAGAGCCCATGCAGAAGCTCAGTGTGTCGCCAGCCCAGCTGCTCCAGCTCCTGCCTCGGCTAAGGTGCCTCGGCTTTCCAACTCTTCCTTGCCGAGCCAGGGGGAGCAGCCTGAGCTGGGATGGCTGGAAGAGGACTTGGGCTTGGAAGCCATCTTTGACACCAGCCTGACTGGGGAATTGTCCCTTTTTGAAGATCTGGAGCTCACGCCTCCAAACAAGGCCACAAGAGTCAACCTGGACTCAACAGCAGACGGGCAGCACGGGGACCGTGCCCAGGGCCAGGAGCAGGTCCTCACTGAATCCAGTGAGAACGACCTGGACTTTGGTGAAACCTGGCTGACCACTTCCCTCCTGCATCATCCCTGGTCTGAAGAGACAGAGGATGACCTCTACAACTGCGTTAACATCGAGCAGTTGTTTGAGCCCCACGATGCCTCTTTGCCAGCAGATGGGAGTGACTGGAGCAGTCTGGCATCTCCCATCTAAAAGGCCAGACACCCTTCAGAGCCCCCCCAGACTGCAGGAGGATGCTCCCCCCATGCTGCTGGCACTCCCAAGGGACAAAACGTTCCAGAGACAGAGACATCTACAGTGCCTTTGACCAGCTTCCTCCTCAGATGACTGACCAGGGGGGAAACACCGGGTGGAGAAAAAAAATACCAGCACAAGGACTGTTTGGTGTATCTTTAATGGTCACATCAGCAGTGTCTAGTGCAGGAGTTTCCCCCATGAAAAAATATAACACTATTTATTTTTTTACTTTTAAAGCAAAGAATGTGAATTCTCTCTCTATTTTTAATTTATATATTTATATATTTATATATTTACATATTTACATATTTACATATTTATATATTTATATATTTATATAGTCAGCTTGTCAGCTCATTAGCTCTTTTTAATGGACAGGCCATATGTTCCTTCAGGGCTAAAGGAGAGCACCTGTTAAGTCCCATCCAAGACACAAGATTCCTGTTGGGTTGGGACTCGATAGGCTAAGTGCAATTCCCTCCCCGTTTGTCTGTGTCTCCTTCCTTTTTCTCTTTAGAGGAGACGGTAGGTAGTGTGATAAGTAGCTAGCAAGTAGATAGGAGTCCCTTCTGGATTCTGCCAATTTCAACTTCCCTCCCAACTTATGCTGAGAGAAGAAGAAAGGGTTTACAAACTCAGCACGTTTGCTTTTTTATTTGTTTTTCTCTATTAAATATGATTTATTCAAAGAAAGCTCTAATTTTTGCAGTAGCTTTTCTTAATAGCAGGGCGCTAGGGGAAATGCAGTTTGGGCGTTGTTTTTTTTGGCGGCAGGCGAGGGGCTACAGGGGTGGCTCCTGTGAGAAGCTGCTAGAAGCTTCCCCGGCTCCAAGTCGGCCCCACTGCTGGCCAAGGCTGAGCCCATCAGCGCTGGTGGTAGCGCCTCTGTGAGAAGATACTGTGAGAAGATACTGTGAGAAGATACTGTGAGAAGAAAAAGCCCCAAGAAACTGCTGGAAAACCTGCAGCAGGGAGAGGAGTGGGATGTGAGAGAAATCCCTACGCAGACCCCAAGGCCGGGGGAGTAGCAGCAGCAGCAGCAGCAACTGGTTTCATTAAGGATGCAGGGCCTGGTCACTCTCAGAAGGAGCTTTCATACTTGTCGTACCCCAAATCATCACTGCAGTTGCTAGAGGGTCTAGACTGTTGCTTTGCACTTCTTTTGCTCACCCAGGGCAACGCTGAGCCCGATTCAAGGTGCGCTTTAAAAGCCAAATAAATTTCTGCTTGCCTGGGAGTTGCCTCCTCCCTCCTCCACCGCCGGTGCCAGCACGGGTCAGCTCCCGGCCTGCGGCCGCTGGGGACAGGCCCAGTCAGAGGGGCAGCTGCCTGTGTGCTGGGGAGAGGGTTTGACCCCCCCAGCCTGTCTTGCCCAAATCCTCAGGGATCCGGGCAGGAAAATCCCTCCCGGTCCACAGCCCTTCAGCAGGCAGCAGCCGCCCTTGAGGACGGGTCTGGCTGCTCCCCTGGGCCTTGCTCTGCAACGCCCCTTCCCCACTGGGACAGTGGGCAGGAGAAGTGCCCACGGGAGGAGGAGTGTGAAGCTCCCCGAGACCCGCCGGAGCCCCACGGTGCCCCCAAGGGCAGCCTTGTGCGGTGGGCTGAAAGCAAACAGGCTGCCCCTGGGCTTCCCGGCTGCTCTCAGCCAAGCCCTGGGCTGGGGAGGGGGGGGTCCCTCCCTGGCCTCTGCTCAAGCCCTCGGGCTGGCAATGGTGGGCTCAGGGATTTCTTCCAGGGCCACGGGGCTGTCATCTTTGGAAGGAGCTAAAGGCGCACCCCCCTGTTTAACTGGGGGGGCTGCCGGGCCCCTGCCCCCTTCAGCTCTGCCCCAGTAGCTGTGGGCTGCTCAGGGCCAGCGGGGCAGTGTGGGGGCACAGGCAGGAGGAAAGGGCCGGGGTCGTGCCTGTGCCAAGCCCCGGAGGGGGGGCGGGGGCAGGACCCAGGTTTTGGGTTTGCCGGGGCCGGAGCTGGGCCCCGGCTGTGGGGCCCCCGGCGCATCTCGGGGTGCCCCAGCCCTGCCCGTCCGACCCCTCCAGGGGCTCCCCCAGCCCGGGATCGGTCCCCAGATGGCCCCGTCCCAGCCAGATTGGCAGGTGCCGGGACCAATGGCAGGGCCGGGAGCTGGCGACGGGGCGGAGCGTCGCCGTGGCAACGCGGGAAGCCTTTCGGAGCCGCTACTGAACGGCAGCCCCTGAGCGGCCGGGACATCCCGGGGACTCGGCGGCGGGGCCCGGCGCCGGGAGCAGCACCGACCACCGACCGCCACCCCCCGCTCCGCACTTGCGGCTGCTTTTCATTTTTGGCCTTTTTTTTTTTTTTTTTTTTTTTTTTTTCCCTCCTCCTTCCTCGTGGGTTTTTGGGTTTTGTTTTGGTTTTTTTTTTACGCCCCCGTGCTCGGGCTTGAAGTTTGGAAGTTGGGAGCCATCGCCTGCCCGGGGTAAGGGCCGGCAGCGGTGGCCGAAAGCGGCGGAGAGCGGTGGGCTGGCTGCGGAGGGCGGTGGGACAGCGGGACAGCTCTGCCGGGGGCTCGGCCGGGCAGCTCGGGCGATGCCGGCTGTCAGGGGCCGGAGGCTTGCGCGGGGGGGCGCGTGTTCTGTGCTTTTTACGCTTTTTACTCTTTTACTTCCTCGCCCCCCGCCCTCTCCCGCGAGCATTCCTGGGGTCTCCCTTACTGAGGGCACAGGAGTTTGCAGGGGAGGGGGGGGTGACACTGGGGACCAAACTGCCGCTGCCCCGAGCCTTAATCCAAAGGGGCAAAGGCCGTTCTTGGGAGCGGGGCCGGGGGTCCCCCGGGGGTTCCCCGCCCGCCCGCCCGCGGCGGTTGATCCCGGCATTTTTCGAAGCGGGGAATCCCCGCCCCAACGGCCGCGGCGCAGCCGGCGCGCGACTCCTCGGCCCCGGGCGGCCGCTGTCCTCGCCCCGAGAGCCGGGATTGCGGCTTTCCAGCCCGGCACAACAGCCAGAAGCCACATCCCAGGGCCCCGGCACTAAGCGAAGCCTCAGTCTGCCGGCTCGCTCGGAGTGAGGGTGCGCTCGGGGAGGGCCCGCGCCCCCCCGGGCCGGGCTGCTTTGGGGGGAGCGGGTGAAGGGAGGAGCAGAAAGAGCAGGAAAGCGGCGGGGTCGGGAGCGGAGGGGCCGGCCGGGTGCTGAGATTTTGTCCTGCTAGCGGCGGGGAGGAGAAACATCCTCCCTTTGTGGGACGGCAGGGCTGCGTTTGGACTGCGGGGGGTTGTTCGGGGGATTGGGGGGGCGGCGGGTGTTGCTCTTTGGTTTTGCCTTTTGCTTCGGCCGAAGGCTTTGCTGGGCAGCGGCACCCGCGCGGGGTGTGGGTGAGCCCGGGGCACGGCGGGCTGAGGGCATTCCCCGAGGGTCAGGGCCGCTCAAGCACCCCCGGGGGCGGCGTTGCAGCTCCCGAGCGCGGCAGCCCGGGGATGGGGCTGAGGCAGCGGCAGCGGGAGCAGCCGTGCCCAGCCCTGCCCGGCTGCCAGAGAGCGGCTGCACCGCAGGGGGCCTCAAGCCTCTCCCTGTTCCCTGTTGTAGGACCTGCCCTGTCCCCTCCCTCCCCTTGACGTACGCCAAGAGGTGCTGAGCCATGGCTGAGGGGTGGCCGATCTGCCAGCGGGCAGGAAAGTACAAAAGGCAGGTGGGTGGCATGGAGGACTCAGATGAACTGGATGACAGCCTAACCAGCCTCATGTGGCTGCAGGACTTCTCAATAAAGAACACCAGCATGGGGAAGTCCTCCTGCTGCCCCAGTGGCCCAGGTCCCCTCGATGGTCACGGCATCCACAGCTTTGCCGCCCCATGTTCACCCCTGGCTGCTGACCCGGCATGTATGGGCATGCCCTACACTCCCTGCAAGCCCATCTCCTCCTCCACCCCAAGGGCAGCACAACACGCCATGGCCACTCATCCCCAGCTCACAGATGACGTGGACTACAAGACCAACCCACACATCAAACCCCCCTACTCCTATGCCACCCTCATCTGCATGGCGATGGAAGCCAGCGACAAGCCCCACATCACACTCTCTGCCATCTACAAGTGGATTACTGACAACTTCTGCTATTTCCGACACGCCGATCCCACCTGGCAGGTAGGAGATGTGGAGACCCCCTTGCTTGTTCTCTCTCCCCGCAGGGCTGGGGAGGGCTTTCCACAGCCTCCGGCAGGCAAGGCGAGCTCCTGTGGGGATACTGCATCCCACTGGGAGCAGAGCAGCACTGGCAGCCGGTGGGGAAGGGCTGTAATGGGAAACCGTCCCCAGCTCCACCTTCCTGGAACTCTCATGGGGTCCTGAGTCCCTTGGCGCCAAGCACAGACGAAATCACCAGCATCTCGGGGTGCTGAGGACCAGGCGTAGCAGAGGATTCCCAGAGAGATGCTGCTTGTTGGACAAAGCCCTGGCTGGGCAGGTTCGGAGCAGAAGTGCTGCCGCTTTCCAAGCAGGCCAGAGGGCAGGTCTGTCCCCTTGGACAGGCAAAGGAGGCTCCATCAGTGTGCCGAGCTGGGGAGGCCTCAGAGGGGAGCCCGAGAGAGGGCCCATAGGGCTGCTGTCCCTATTGAGCACCAACGTGTCCCCAGGGGGTAGGGGACAGCCCCGTGGCTCACCAGATTTGGGGGCTTTTCCCAGCCACCTTGGCTCCCTGCCCTCCTCCATCACACAAGGGGATCTCCAGCATGTGACACTCTCTACGGTGTGGCAAGGCAGGAGGGACCCAGGTGGCTCATCCCTCCGCTCCGCTTATTCCCAGCCCAGATCCGCAGTGTGCCAGTGATCCCAGCAGCCAGGGCTCACCCAAGCAGGGCTGGGCAAAAGCACTGCAAACCCCCTGCCCAGGCGCTGCCCACCTTCTCCCCAGGCAGGTGGGTCTCTGGTGGCTCTTGGAGCCCATCACGGGGAAGGGAACTCCCCGCTTCCCTTCCAGGACCGCCCGGGTCCCCCAGCCTGAGGGAGGACGAGCTGTGTGCCAGCGGGTTGACTTTCTCCTGCAAACTCAGGGCTGGAGGATCATCACGGTTTTAATTAACGGGGTGCCTTCCAGAAAGAAAGAAGGTTTCCAATCCCTCTCTGCAGGGCTGCAGGGGATTCACAGGATTCTTGCAGGCAGCAATGATAAATATGTTCTCTGACCGGGTGATAATAGAGGGCAGCCCAGGCTGAATCAAGTTTGGCATGGGGAGGGCAGATGGGGAGCAGAGAATTCAGCTTGCAGGTCTGTGACCCTTGTAAAACTGTGAAACTGTAAATCTGAAGTTACCACGGCCTGGACTGTTTGCGGGGTTATCTGTGTTCCTGCTGCTGGTGCCACCTCCCGTGGTGCTGCCATGTGTTGCCACTTGTAATGGGGTCCTGGCCACAGCAGGGTAAAGACCCTTCCTTAGCCATGGAGGAGGACCTGCCCTCCTCCAGCTTAGCTCCACGCCTGGAGCAAGTCTGTCTGGGTCCTGCCAGTGCTCGCCATGATCCAAGGCCCCACGGTCAAAAGATACAGCCAAGAACAGTGGCCCCAAAGTTCCTCTTGGTTGGCAAGTCCTCGCTCGACCCCCTTGGCTCCTGCCACCTCTGGCTGGAGCAGACGAGAGGCAAGAAAACTCTGTCAGTGACTCGGGGCAGGGGACTGTCTGCTGGGCATGCAGTCCAGGATGGCTTGACATTGCTGTTTTTGCTTTCTTTTTCCCAAAGGTCCTTGCTGAAAATGGCCTTTTCCACCAGCCTCTGCACACAGGTAGTGGCTGCAGCAGCAGACAAGCATTCAGCCTTGGTTTTTTTTTTT